CAGCCTCCAAGGTCCCGTGTGGTCTGGACCTGTGTGGCCTGCCCTCTGCCTCACCCTTTTCTTGCTTCTTGTCCTGAGGTCCACAGGCTCTGCCACCAGCCTCCTTCCCATCCCTCATGGCGTTCCCACTTGTGGCTCCCTCTGCCTGGAACACTTTGGCTCTAGCTCTTCCATGGCTGGTGTCTTCTTAGCCTTCAATCTCAGCTCAAATGTCCCTCCTTCGGAGATGTCTTTCCTGAGGACCCCATGTAAAGTAGACCACTATGCACATCCCACTGGCCTCACTAAACAGGGGTCTTTCCATCTCTCTCTGCCCCCATGCCTTTGGTGTGTCCTTCATAGACTTTAGCACAGCTTATTATTGTTCTGTTTTTTAATGTGCTCACATCACCTGTGCCCTTTGGACGAGTAGTTCTAAATGTCCGCTTGGATAGGCACCACTGGGCGGTTCATCAATCACACCCTAGCCTGTTGCTGGGAAGGTATTTTGTGGCTGTGGTTAACATCTACAATCAGTTGAATTTAAGTGAGGGAGGTTAAGCTGGAAAATGGGAATGGACCACAGCCAATCAGTTCAGAGACACTAAGAGCAAAATGGAGGTTTCAATGAGGAAGAAGAAATTCCACCTGTGCCCTGTAACATCAGCTCCTTCCTGAGAACTCCAGCTTGTCCTTCCTTGTCTCCTGTCCTGTGGATATTGGACTTGCCTAGTCAGGTCTCCCTCTTTCCATTACATATGCAGTGTGATGGAAATACACACCAAATTTAAAATTTTACAGATCTATTATAGTAAAAGACACACTGCCGTGAATTCCCTTCAGAATTTTCCCTCTCACTTTGAACGCATTTATCCCACCATTGTTGGTACTTTCTGGAGTTCTGTAAGTCTTCTTTCATGAGTGTGTTTATGAGGTGTGATAAGAAATTCAGTCAATGCTGCTGCTAAGTGTCATTCAGCAGGAAGGCAGGCTCCTAAAAACATTACAGTATATGTTGCCATCCACCTTATTCACCCAGTTTGGCGCCTTTCAAATTCTGGCTCTTCTCCAAAGTCAAAATGACCATGAAAGGTCAATGTTTTGAATCAATTGAGGACATCGAAGCAGCCACGACAGTGAAGTAAAGACATTATTGAAAGAGGACTTCCAGAAATGCTTCAGAAAGCAGCACGGATAATGGGATAAGTGCATTCAAAATGAAGGGGAACATTTTGAGGGGAATTAACAGCAATGTGTCTTTTACTGTAATGATTTTTTAAAAAAATTTGAACATAACTCACATATATCTTCTTCTAATGGTTCTGTTTGATATAATCCTGACAGCTGCATGCCCTACCCCAGGTAACTCTGTGAAGTTGGGGATCATATCGGTCCACTTCCCATGCCTGGAACATGCATGTTGGCTAAATCAGAGCGTGATGTCACTCTAGGGAAGCCCTAGACATGTGTCTTTGGGTATACAGATCCCTGGCTTTCCTGTTTTTAGGACATGAAAGATGACAACTTACCTACTGACCTTGGCCCCTGGGTCCCAAGGGACCTGATCCTGCTGTACAGGAGAAGGGAGACTCTGAGATGTCACATACCTTCCTGGGGACTTCTGCACTTACCCTGGGGTCACTCTCAGGGCTGGGAAGGGGGATGATAGGATAGGTTGTGGAGGGATACCTCCCCTTTCCAGCCATTGGGATTCTTCCTGCCTCTCCCATGCGGAGGCCTTCAGGCACCCAGTGGTAGCTCCTTAGAAGATATGGGGAGCTCAGTGATTTCTGCCCCATGGTCCTCTTGGGGACAAACTTGCAGCTAGGATGCACTCATGTGGGACTCAGCACCAGGCTGCTGTCAAAAGTAGGATGACAGTGGGCTCTTTCAGAGAGGTTATCCAGCAGCCTCCAAGCTCCGCCACTTTTCTTCAAGAGGTCTGGGGGACTTCAGCCCGATGTGGGGCCCAGGTCAGCAGCATTCCCTTGAGGAGTGCAAGTTAGGGCCCTGACCAGATGTACCATACTTGTCTCAGCTTGGCTATCCAGATGCTGGGGTGCTGGGATGCTGGGATGAAGGGAAGTGGTGATGCTGGGATGCTAGGATGGTGGGGTGCTGGGATACTGGGATGCTGGGATATAGGGATGTGGTGATGCTGGGGTACTGGGGTGCTGGGATACTGAGAGGTTGAGATACTTGAGGTGCTGAGGATGCTGGAATTCTGGGATGCTGGAGATGTGCTGGTGCCAAGATTCAGAGATGCAGTGATGAGGTGAAGCTGAGATGCTGAGGACGCTTAGGGATTCTGGGGTGTTAAGGATGCTGGGTTGCTGTGAGTCTGGGATGCAGGGATGCAGTGATGCTTGGATGCTGAGAATGTTGGGATCATGGGAGGCTGGGAGACTGGGAGGTTGGGATGAAGGGATGCAGGGATGCTGGGGTGCTGGAATGCAGGCTCCTGGACCCATTTTTCTGGCAAATAGAAGCCAAAAGGCAGGGAGAGGGTGAAGAAGTCAAGTGATAGGTAAAAATGGAAGGAGCAAAGTCCCCTTGGAGAGAGGTAAGAGAGAATGGGGAAGTCTAAGCTGCAGACCAGAGGCGAAGAAGGGTGCTAGGGCACTGTGAGCCCCTGGCATGTTTCTGTGGAGGCAGTGAGCCTGCTGAGTATGGACACGCTCCCACTGGGTTCAGGGTCAGGATGAAGTTGATGTTTGGACCAGAACATTTGGGAAGGAGGATCTGAGACTGGAGTAGATTGCTGTGGGTTGGGAGTGATGGAGAAGGAGACGCAGGGCACAGCCACTCCTTGAAAGGCCAGCAGAGAACTGGGGTTGACTGGATGGGCGGCCCAGGGAGAAATCCAGCACAGGAGAGGCAGAGGGGGCAGGAGAGAGGGCAGCAGCGAGGGCACAGTGGGGCAGGTGCATCTTCAGGACTGGACAGCAGGGACAGCCATCAGCCGGTGGGAGGACTGGCACTGCTAGACGGCGGGGGGGGGCAAGCAGTGCTGGGAGAAGTAATGGGGCCAGTCTGGGGCCAGGTGGCAGACGGCAGGCAGCATCCCGGGCTGCTGTCTGGGCTGCGGGGCCCACTGGCTCAGCCTGGAGGTTAGACGTGGGGGGCATGGAAGGGAGAAGCAGCTCAGCAGACTCGGCTCCGCTTTTATTTCTGTCTCTGAGGATGGCTAGTTGTGACCCATGAGGCTCTCAGGCTGAGGAAGCCCCAGCAGGGCTGCACAGGGGCTTTGGCAGAACTTGGGTCCCCGCTCCTTGCCTGGCAGGTTCTGAGCAACAGGTACTGTACATGTGGCCAAGCACAGAGCAGGGGAAGGGCCAGCGGGGACCCTAGTGCCCAACTCCTGCTGCCACTGGGCCCCCTGAACAAGAGGGCTGCTATACCTGGGCCCCAGAGCTCCAGTGTGGCCCTGAGGGGAAGCTGAGGCCTGCCCGGGCCTGGCATGGATGGGCACTTGAGGCAGAGGGTCAGTACCGATAGGAAATGGCAGCTGGCTTAGGGTCACCTGTGGGGCAGTCCATGGCCCGATGCTTAGCAGGAAGTAGGAGGCGCCTGTGTGAGTGGGAGCCTGAGAGCCAATGCTTTGGTATGATGGCTGGTCCCATGATCCTCGGGCCAAGGGGATGGGAAGGCTGCTTGCACCCTGTGTCCCAGCCATTGAGCGTGTTGGGTGTGGGCCTCTTCGGGGAACATTGGAGGCTCTGCTTGGACAGAACAGACCCATTTTCATCACATCTATTCCCAACTGTTGCTTCAGTCACACCGTGACAGCACAGGTATGTGTGGGTCCCAAATAATTTCCTGCTCACCTTGGGGAGATGTGGGTCTATCTGCAAATGCCTACTACCTGTTGGCCAGGTCGTGGCCACCTGATAGAAGCACAGGTGCCAGCCTTCTTACTAGGGTTCCTTGGGAGAAACCCTAAGTTAACGAAGCTCCGCAGAAGATACTTTCTTCTGCTGATAGATAGAGGTGGCCCACGAGCGAGACACACAGGAGTCTCTGTTGCTTCTGCAGCAGTCTGGACTGGAACTGGGCCACTCACTCTGTCCACACAGGGGAGGGAAGGGAAGGGGAGAGGGGGCTTGCAGGGCCTCCCGGACTAGGACACTAGGATCGGGCGGCAGCAGACCAGGGTTTGAAGGGGCTGGATCTTCAGGGGGCGGGGCTCCTCAGGAGGGGGTGGGGCAAACCTGGGTACTGCCTCTCCTTCCTCTGTCATCCTGTACCTGAGAGCGAGCTATCTTTGACCTTCTCCCTGTACCCCTGCACCCTGGGTTCTCCTGCCTGCACCACTGAGAACAAGCAAGGGTAGGTGCAGCCCAGGCTTTGGGCTGGAGGCAGCACGAAGACGAGAAGACCCTTCTTTCCATAACCTGCCTGCTGCCCAGCTGCCTGGCACCCGTCCAGGGACTTGTGGCTGTCCCTGTGAAGTGCAGGTAGCTGTCACCCGCCTCAGATTACGCCGTACCCCTTTTGTGAGTGTCCCTTCCCTGGGAAGAATGGGAGTTCATCACGAAGGCCTGAAGTTTAGGCCTTCCCCGCTCTTCACAGTTTCTGGTGTGCATGATCTCTCATCTCTGGGGTCTCATCCAGAAAGGACGCTGACAAAGTAATAAACTCCATTCTGTCCCTCTTCAAGGGTGGCAGGGGCAGGTCAAAGACGGGCAAGTGTGATCTTTGTCGAGGGCAAGAAGATGGTGGTGTTGAGTCTGAGCAAGTCCCCCTGTCCCACCCTAGTGTAGAGTTACCTTAGTGGCGGCCCATTCCCTCTGTAAACTGAGGGCTGCGCTCAAAAATGACACGCTTGTGTGCTCTGGCGGTCAGTTACTCCAGCACATGCCGCCTAGCTTGTCGTCCATCCCCCACCCACCCCGTGGCCGCAGCGTTCCTGGGCCAAGACCTCACACAGCCTTGGGAGGAAGCAGAGACACAAGTAGGCGCAGCTGGCATGGCTTTGTAGGTGCTGAGTGCTCCCTGGAAAAATGAAAACATAGAGGCACTTTTCTCCTGGCTGTTTATTAACAGAACAACGAAAAAAAAAAACGCACTGGCTCGAAACAGATGCCAGATTTCAAATGTTGAGGCAAAATACGAGGTGGCAATTAAAATGTGATTACACAAAGTCTGGACACCGAGAAAAGTTTACAGGACAGTGGGCGTGGGTTCTCTATAACAGACACTTAAATATACATGACAATAATTGCAGATAGAAACCATCAAAGACAAACTCCAAATCAACTGTTAATGTTTATAGACTCCCCCAAACCACAGAGCCTTACATCAAGACTTGCAAGAGACCTGAAAGCAGGACAGCGCACCTTCCCCCTGCCTTGGGCTTGCTCTTCTCTGAGTGACAAAGGGAGGGGACAGCTCACACACACTGCTCAGCTCCCCGCTGTCCCTGCGCCTCTCCCACGTCTAACACGCATCCTCAGCCTCTTGGCGGTGTCTCGGGGTGCACTAACCAGAAGTCGCTACTGCTGCAAATGCTCATTAGGAAAGAGCTCGCTTGCAGAGGCGGCAAAGGTTTGCAAAAGAGCTTAGGAGTCACACCAGGCGATAGGACTTGGAGTGAGAATGGGAATCGATGACCAAGTGGTTTTCCGTTTGGCATGTGTCAGTTTGCACAACACCCGTTGGTCACAGCCACATTTCTCAGGGCATCAAAACCATAGATAGCATCACAACCACAGCGAGACTCAGCCACCTGGCTTCACAAGGTATCACTGGGGTGGACAGCACAACCTGCATATTGGTAACAAAGTAGAATAAACACAAAACAAAGCAGAATAAACACAACTCTACTGAAACAAAAGCCGTCACTTTATTTACAAAGTCACAAAACCAAGTATAAATACTTCTGTCGTTAATGTTTAGGAAAACCATTTACAAAATTTTCAAATATGTACAAGTAGCTTGAAAAATGACCAGCTTTCCATCCATCTTGTCTCAGGTCAGAGGGGAATGGCCAGGGCGACACCGCTCAGATGCTAATGAGGACCAAGCGCGTGTGGATGGCTGGCTGGCTGGGACTGTGTGGGAATTTGCTGAGGCTTCAGGCCTGCCTTAGAGTGCCATCAGCATGGAGCATTCTAGGGTACCTGGCTCTGATTTAAAGCCCCCTGGCACCCTGGGGGAGCTGGCCAGCATTCTGGGCAGCAGCATGCTGTTCCAGAATGTCATCGATCAGCCTCAGGTTGCATACCCAGCCTTCATCCGGGCCCTCATTGGAGCCTTTCAAGAGTGCTTCAATGAAATCCACCTCACTGCAGTCAGGTGGTGAAATCGGACCGTTTAGCGGCTGCTGGGGCAAGAAGTCGCTGGGTGGCAGCTCAGAGGGGGCCCCCGTTCTGCTGGGAGGACCCATGGGTTGGCTGGCAGCCATGGCTGAGGCGGTGGCAGCGGCAGCGGCCGTAGCCACGTAGGTTGGTGGTTCAATGCCATGCATGGGACTCATGGGGGCAAAGCCGGCTGTGCCCTGCTGCAGGGATTCGGTGCTCAGCACAGGCACAGAGCCTCGCAGCGGGCTCTGCCGGAGGCTCTGGCTTCCCAGCAGGCTAAAGCTGGGGTTGGCCGGGGTAGTGCTGCTCCCCTTTTGGCCAGGCCTACCTCCTGGGGTCATGTGCCCAGGGGGTGCAACTGCCTGCTGGGATGGAAACGCCCGGGCCACCAGGGGTGCTTTCATGGGTGCCTTGGCAAACGCAGAGTTGCTATCGAAATGCTGCTGAATGCCGTTATCGACTTGGCTCAGAGATGGTTCCCTTGAAACTGCTGTGGTCACGGCTGCCGCCGCCACCCATGCGGCATTGTTGAACACAGTGGGCATTTTTGGCACACTGGGCTGTCTGAGCCGGTGGGGACTCAGGGGCTGGCTGCCCAGTGGGCTGGGACAGAACCTGGGCAGGAGCACTCCTGGGAGGGTGGCCTTGGCACTCTGTGGGTGCTGGCAGACCGAATCAAGACTGCCCGGGGAGTTCTGGCTGGGGCGAGAGGACGTGGGCAACTGGGAGCCAGTGCTGAATGTTCCCTGCTGCTTCCGTGGAGTTGGCGAGATCATGCCCATGCCCGCGCAGTTCTGGCGCCTGGTGGGTGGGATTGTTCCTGGGTTCAGACTGTTCGGACGGAACCCAGGTCTGGGCGGCATCATGTGCTGGCTGGAGGAGGGGCTTGCCTTGGGCTGGCTACACTTGGAGGTGACTTGTTCTTGGACGGCTACAGGAACAGAGAAGTGGGGATTAGTTTCAAACGCATCCGTGGCTTGGGTTGTGGCCACTGCACAGGAGCTGTGGGTCAAGCATCGACCTCAAGCATCAGCCTCTTGTCACCTCTGTCCCTTGGCTCCCTCTTCAGCACCCCCACCCCCAACTCCCTTCCACTCGCCCGCACCGCAGTTCCACAAGGAAGCCCTCCCAGACCTCCCGGCCTGCGCTTGGCACCCTTCCCTTCTACCTTCTTGGGTACACTGGAGGCTCCGCGAGGGGGGGGCTGTGGCCGCCCTTATACCTGGTCCTGTATGCAGGACCCACACTGAATAGTTTTTGGAGGAAAGGAAGGAAGGAAAGAAAGGAGAGAGCGGATGAAAGATGGGGGAGGGGGCTGGGCTGGGGAAGATGGCTCAGCGGCCCAGACCAGAGAGACACGGCTGGCCTCAGCAAGTGTGGTGAGGAGGAAGGACAGTGTTCAGCTCCCCTCCGTGCTCCGCACAGCCTAGACAGCCTCCGAGCCTGGCAGTGGGGCCCCCATGCTTGTTGTGTTGAACTGCTCTGTGCCTGCAGCCACCCTTGCCTGACCCGCCACTCCAGCCTGGGCACGTGGGGCACAAACCCAGCTGATACCCCGGGGCCCAACAGGATAGGGGTTTGCAGGAGAACAGAGGACCCATGGTATGCGGGTGGCATTGGGCTAAAACCCATCTGAGGGCAAGTGGACAAGTGTGGAGTGCTCCACGGGTGTCCTTGGTCTGCTGCAAGGTCACCGCAGTGGCTTATAAGGAGTGCTTAACTCAGTCCTCCCTCAGTGGTCTGTAAGCTACATGAAGCAGGGATCACATCTGGTTTTTTGCTCACTGCTGTATCCCTGGCCAATAAATGGACACTGCCTGCATAGCTGCCTGTTAAGTTGAGGTCCCTGGGAGCTCTGAGGTGGAGCATCCCCAGGCCTCTGTCCATTCCATTCAGGGCCTGCCACATGGCCTTGACACCCACCGGAAGTGGGTCAGTCCATCTGTGTATGAGGAAGGGCAGGATCAGAACTCAGGGTTGCGGCAGCCCCAGGTCATTCTGATATGCACCCCAGGTCCCTGTCTCTCTCCTATTGGCCTGAAAGGGCCTGGCTTAGTTTAATCAATCTCTTGAACTATAGGACTTTGGAAGCATTAAGTCCAGGCTTCCAACTGGGATCCTGCTTTCAGAGGTGGGTAGGTGAACTCGTTTCAGTGGGAGAGAGCCAACCTTTCAGACCTCGCCTCTGCTTAGTACTTCTGAGACACAGCCAGTAACTGCTCATTCAGAAAGGAATTCGCCCCCGTCCCAGGATGCGTCCCCTTGCTCACCCCTGTGGGATGGAACATTGACCTTAACTGCTTACCTTGAAATTGACTCATCTGCAGGGCCACATACGCACTTTGCTGTTTAGGGGTCATTGCCATAAGACCTGATTTCTGTTTCTCTTGCTAAACAGAAGATGAAAAACACACATTAGGTTGCAGTTGCCAAGAAATATTAGCCTTGGGATCACTGTGCGGGGACCTGGGACTCGGCTTTAGTGTAGCAAAAGCATGAGTGAACACACCAACACACGCTCGCATGCATGCTCCACCCTCCCGAGCAAAATTCCACAGGGAGAAAGAAAAGTAGGGCTCCGCACCTGGGTTAAAAAAACCAATTGCTGTAGCATAGGATGGGACAGAGCTTCATAGCAAGAGCACATAGAGAAAGACTGAGGCGATTTGGATGTCCGTCTGCTCAGGAATGGTCAGCAGTGAGATGTGGTCACCAAAAGAACAGATGTAACATTAGGCTGCATTAATAGAAGCAGAGTATGTAGGAGGGAGGTGACAGTCCTATGCTACTCTGCCTTGGCCAGACCGTGCCCACAGTGCCAACAGGAATCTGGGCATGCCAGTCTCAGGGAGACCCAGACAAACTGTCTGTGTTCAGAGGATGGTATGAAATGGCTGAGTGAGCCGAGCTGGGGGAGCAGAATCCGGGCTTCTTGGTGGGGCTGTCGCGGGGAAGTGACCACGGTTTGTTCTGGGTGGTCCTAGCGTGGACGGCTGCATGATCGCATGGTCAGATGGAAACACTGCCCGACACCCGGAGTAGCCAGACGTCGCTGCCAACTTCCCTTCCTTCTCCTGACTGGTTGGGACGGACAGATGGGAGGGGCTTCCTGTCTCCTGGTGGAAGTTGGCTGGGTGGGCACGGGGAGGAGCTGCGCTGCAGGGCCACAGTCCCTGCACTTAGTCCGGGACCAGCCCCTGGGGTCAAGGGGGAGAACGTAGCCAGGAGAGAATCAGGAGACCCCAAGGTGAGAGAAGGCAGGGCTTATTCCCAGGCCCACAGCTGGTCGTTGACTGGGACCCAGCTCTGACTTTCAGTCGGGGCTCGGCCTCTCTGTCTACCTGCTGCCTTCTCTCTGCCCTTCTGGAGAAGTCTGCCTGCTAGTGTGCCAACCGCCAAGTCAGCTGTCAGGGAGCACACGCCCTCAGCCCTCTTCCTGCCCCCCAAGCCAGAAGACTTGACCCTACAATAGGGGCTGCCTGGGGTGCAGGCAGGCGGCTTCTCTGCCCCCTTGGGGCTGGCGCGGCAGGGCCGGGTGGAGGGCCGGCGCTTGGGAGTGTGCCTGGCCCTCAGGCCTGGCAGCGGTTCCTGGCGCGGTTCCTCCCAAGGCGGGGAGGACAAACACAGGGAACCGGGAAGACTACACCAGACTGTGTTCTGCTTCTGCGTCCCGCCCTTGGGCTGCTTCCTGTCCCCGCTCTTGCTGCTGCCCTCAGACGAGGGGCTGCTGCTGGCTGGCCTGGGGTGTGGGTGCAGGGGCTGTTTCTCAGCTGACCCCCGGGGCTCCTCTCTTCTGGCCATAGCACTCTGAAGCTTGGGAGGACGTGGGGGAGGGGGAGAAAGTTGGAAGGGCGGTATCGGGACTCACTGTCCTGCGCACTTCACACCCACCATTTCCTGTCATCTGGAAATGCCCCCTGGGGCCATGGAGGAGCTGGTGGTCCTATAACTGCTCCAGGCCACATCATCCAGATCTGCCTGAGGCTTGGGGCTGTGTGTGTGACCATTTCACTTCCGTTCCTCCCCTTGACCCTTCTACCAGCCTGAAAACGTTGGATTAGATCCACCATCCCCAGCTCACAGGTTTATGGCATCTGAAGCTCAGAGAGGTTAAATGACTTGCCCAAAGCGACCCGGCTAGGAAGTGGAATGCTGTTGACAGCAGCCCCAGTGCTTCGGCTGGAGAGGCGGGGAGGCGGAGGCCAGAGGGTGTGACCAAAGAAAAGGCAAGGAGGGCAGAGAAGTGCAGAGGGAAGGATGTACAGAGAAAGTCCGCCCAGGGCCAGTGGAAAACAAAAGGAAAAGCCAGCTGGGGCAGGACTCAGAGGGTGGAGCCCGGGTACTGCCTGCCAGATGAAAGAGAGCTCGCACCCAGTCTGGAGCTACGGGGACAAATGGGATGCTACAGAGTCTGCACCTACAGAGGCACAAATTCCAGAGTGTCCAGAGTTGCAGGAAATCTGGCCGGCGGCGACATCATTCCAGAGACTGCCAAGCCCAAACAGTGCCCTGCCCCGCCCATGGTGCTGGTGGCCAGCCCGGTGGACCCTTGTGCCTGCTTGCGGGGACCCCAGCAAGAGGGGTCCTCCACAGGCTCTTTGCCCCGCTGGGGTGCCCAGGGCCCAGCCGGTCCTCTGCTCCCACCCTGGTCCTGCTGTCCTGGGCATTCTCTGCAGGCCTCCCTCAGAGGCCACTTCCTTTGTTTTGCAGACCTAGCGCCCATCCTTTGTTCTGAATCAGTGTGCTCCAAAGATAAGCCCCAAGAAAACAGTTGTTGCCTTTTGACACTGACAATTAGAATCGTTGGAAAATGGAGAAAACAGGAAATGACAAATGGTTTCAGTGACCAGGAGGAAACAGTGGCTGAAAATTGCTGCTTAGTGTCAGGACACTCATTTCTGCCTCTTGTGAAGGGTGGCCCAGGTTGGTGGCTTTTCGTAAGCACTAGAGGAGGTCGTCAAATGACTAGCACCGCAATTGTCATGGTGCCCGCGACACCAACGGGCAGCACTGCCCTGTGGGTCTTGTGTGAGGCCGAGGGTGATTCTTCCAGGGTGGCCACCCTGGCGAGCTCAGGGTTGGGGCCAGCAGGAAGTCTAAGGCCTGGCTCCTCCTCTGTCCCACCCTTTCCCAGCCCCGCTGGGCCAAGGGGCCAAAGTCGCAGACAGGTCCTGGACTGCCATTCATGGAGGTTCGCAGAAGCGCTCTTGGCTTCCTTTGTGCACCAAACAGGAAAGGGGCAAAAGGCCTGGCCCAGACCCTGCTGCCGTCTGCTGGCTCCACAGAGGCCAGGCCAGGTGCCGCATCAGCCTCCGCATTAACCACCCAGCGGTCACGTTCCTGTCCCCCTCCCAGTGCAGTCACCTAGAGGCTTCCCTCTCCCCGCTGCAGAGAAAATAATCTCATTACCAATTCAACCACTTAATCAGACAAAGGGACTCTCCAGCTGGGCGAAGCCAGAAGGCAGGTGATCAGCAGGAATTGGACACATGCCCACAGAACGTTCCTGGGTTTCAGCCCGATTCAGACTGAAGTTACTCACCCCATGGTCCCCTAGAGGAGGGCATTCTGGCTTGGCATGTTGAGGGACGGAGGGAGGCAGGGAGAGAGAGGGGAGAAAGAGGAGCGGGAGGAGGGAGGGGGAGAGGAGGAAGGGGAGGACAGGAGAGGCGGACGAATTCTGCCCTATCAGGGAACTCCCCCCTGCTGTCCTAGCAGACACAGCCCTTTGGGTATCCCTGCACAGAGCCGGCCTGCCATGCAGCAGAAGGCCCTCAGCTCTCTGCCCCAAAGGCTAATGAGCGCTGGTGCTGGTTGCTTATTACTCCACAGGGAAAAGCTCCTTCTCTTGTGGATTTTTGAAAGCCAGAACTGGGAACAACTCATTCACCCTTCTGACTTCCTTTGAAATGACAGGAGGACGGCATAGTGTGTGGGGACTACCATGTCATCAAGATCTGAATTCTGGGGGCTCCTGTACCCATGCGGCTGGAGACATCTGATACCCATAGGGTCTGGCCCGCCAGAGGTGCAATTTACACACCCTTCCAGAAGGCCAGTTTGACAGGGTCTTCAGAAACCATCAGGGGCTTCCATAAAAAATGGTGAGCAGGCTTCAGTTGTTTCCTAGATTCCTTCCATGAATCTAGAAGGCCAGAGCCCAGGACTCATTTTCTCTAGAATGCCTTGGGGGAGGCTGGAACAGAGGGTACATCTCCTCCCTGTGGATTGCTGGGGCCACAATCTAGGATGGGCCACTCAGCACTTGCCCTTGTGCATGGCTTTTGCTCAATGCTTTCCCCTACCCAAAGTGCCACCAGAGGGACCCTGGCCTCAATGACTCTGCAGCCCACACAGTGGGAAGATAGGGCTTACGGGACAGCCAAGCCAGTCCTTCTATCAGTCAGTGGACAAAACACTTATTGTGGGTCTACCATGGGCCAGGCTCTGTCCCTGGCATGGGGCTTCTGCTGCATGCCTGTACTCCTAAGGACCTTCAATAGACAGGGAGACCAGGCCAAGGAGACCATGGTCTAACATAGCACGGCAAGAGGAGCAGATAGTGAGCGGGCAGGCACTGGCAGAACCCAAGGTCAGATATAGGACCCTGAGGGCCAACTGGAACCCCAAGCCATTCTCTACATTAGGCGAAACTGGGCCAGTGTCTCCAACTGTCACTGGGGGCTTCACAAAATAAATGCCATCAAAAGCCAAAGAGTGAGATGGGTGTGGTTGCTAGTGTCACCCTGAATTTGCTGTCTTTCCACTTGACCTATGACTATGTAAACTATTCTCACCCAGACTCCGTCTCGGTGGCTTCAGGGCTGGCCGGTGCCGGCGGGGCTTGGTCTAAGGACTGGGAGTGATCCTTGGGAGAGGGAACAAAGGTTCCTCTTCTTCCCTTGTGGCACCTGCACCCTGCTTCTCTCTGACTCCTAGGCTGCAGTGACAAGGTGACTGCCTGATCTGTCCCTCAGAGGCCCCCAGGACTGGCCAGCTTCCCAAGCTTCTGGAGAAGAAGTCAGGGCTGCCCTCCACTGCTGGATCAGAGAGAGAATGAGGTGGGAAGCAGGACTCCTGTGCAAGCTCGCTGGGGTCCTCCAGTTGGTGGCTTCTGAGGCTAGCCCAGGGCAGGGCGGACCAGGGTGGAGACAGCGACATCCCGAGTGGACACATCTGCTCTGCTAATTCTGTTTCCCTGGCATTTTGGGGCTGGACGGATTCTGCTGGATTCAGCCGGAGAGCAAACAGCCCAGGAGCGCTGAGAGAAATCAATAGCTCTTGAGTGGAAAGCACTGCCTGTTCTTCCAGGCCAGGGCCGGCAGGATGAGGGAAGGGGCGGTATGTACCAAAACAGAATTTCCATTACAGGCCAGCATCCTCGGAGGCT